GTTTATTCCTTTTCACTGTGTCTCATGTTTTTAAAGGCAATCTATGTGATGGGCGATTCGGCTCTTTGAATTAAACAATACATAAATACATGATGCTGTTTTGTTCATAATTGTTTATGCAATTTACGAAATTATATTTGATTTATATGAGTTAATTTAGACGTAATGCATGTTTTTTTTTATAGACAGTTACTTCCTTGCGTTGACAATTTAATGTGCTGCATTATTTTGCTCATTGCGCCCTCCTGTGGCCTCGGGAGACAAGCCAAAAGTTTAACCTATTTAATCTGCATATATAACATTAGAAATGAGATATTTGTTTAATTTTTATTTTGTTTTTGACTGTTAAAAAAAAAAAGTGTTGTTTGTCTCAATAAATTGAGTTAACTTAAAAATACAGTGGTTAAGGTAAAAAAAAATTCTATTGCTCTTTGTTTTAAAAAAGGTTATAAAAAATGTCAATTATCGATACCGAACGATATGAAACATTATATAGTTGATAAATTTTTTAGCTATATCGCCCAGCCCTAGGTAGCACTTTTCGCTATCGAATTATGCTACCATCTGTTTTAATGGGAGGTAGCAAAATCTGACAGGGTAGCACAAATCGTCAGAACAGTCAAAGCAAATCAATCAAGAGCGTAGATTGCTCAAGAGCAAGAGCAAACAATCATTTTAATTTTTTCCTTCTAACAGTGGAAACAACTACACCTTTTAGTCATAAAGATAATCGGAATTGTAAAAGGTTTGCCTTTGTTTGTGTACATTCACAATTAAAACAAATCTTTGTGCTTTTGTAAAATAAGCCTAAAGAAAAATAGGATGCCGCTTTCTGCCGTCTGGTTTCCTTTCGCGCAGCACAAAAATGAACCGAAACTCTGCATACTAGGCTACTTGTTACAGTTTTTCTTTCATTTTCTTAATTTATTATTTAAGTAAAGATATATTTCTCGTATAGGCCTATTTATTTGTTTATATATAGCCTAGCTTTATTATGTTTTTCTCCACTCGCAGAAGCGTTGCAGGTGCGTGATGTGATATGATGACCATGTGAATCCTCATGTTCTGTTGTTTGCTGCTTTTTGCGCATGTAAAATTAATCCCCGGTATTTTTAAAGGCAATCTATGTGATGGGCGATTCGGCTCTTTGAATTAAACAATACATAAATACATGATGCTGTTTTGTTCATAATTGTTTATGCAATTTACGAAATTATATTTGATTTATATGAGTTAATTTAGACGTAATGCATGTTTTTTTTTATAGACAGTTACTTCCTTGCGTTGACAATTTAATGTGCTGCATTATTTTGCTCATTGCGCCCTCCTGTGGCCTCGGGAGACAAGCCAAAAGTTTAACCTATTTAATCTGCATATATAACATTAGAAATGAGATATTTGTTTAATTTTTATTTTGTTTTTGACTGTTAAAAAAAAAAAGTGTTGTTTGTCTCAATAAATTGAGTTAACTTAAAAATACAGTGGTTAAGTGTAAAAAAAAATTCTATTGCTCTTTGTTTTAAAAAAGGTTATAAAAAATGTCAATTATCGATACCGAACGATATGAAACATTATATAGTTGATAAATTTTTTAGCTATATCGCCCAGCCCTAGGTAGCACTTTTCGCTATCGAATTATGCTACCATCTGTTTTAATGGGAGGTAGCAAAATCTGACAGGGTAGCACAAATCGTCAGAACAGTCAAAGCAAATCAATCAAGAGCGTAGATTGCTCAAGAGCAAGAGCAAACAATCATTTTAATTTTTTCCTTCTAACAGTGGAAACAACTACACCTTTTAGTCATAAAGATAATCGGAATTGTAAAAGGTTTGCCTTTGTTTGTGTACATTCACAATTAAAACAAATCTTTGTGCTTTTGTAAAATAAGCCTAAAGAAAAATAGGATGCCGCTTTCTGCCGTCTGGTTTCCTTTCGCGCAGCACAAAAATGAACCGAAACTCTGCATACTAGGCTACTTGTTACAGTTTTTCTTTCATTTTCTTAATTTATTATTTAAGTAAAGATATATTTCTCGTATAGGCCTATTTATTTGTTTATATATAGCCTAGCTTTATTATGTTTTTCTCCACTCGCAGAAGCGTTGCAGGTGCGTGATGTGATATGATGACCATGTGAATCCTCATGTTCTGTTGTTTGCTGCTTTTTGCGCATGTAAAATTAATCCCCGGTAAACAAATTTTTGTATTTTTAACGGGTCACAGACACTTATCCTTTCTAATTTAATTCAATTCTAATTTAAAATAATCTTGTCGGTTAACGGTTAAGAACCATTTAATGAACGTCGGTTGTCGGTTAGGAAAAATAACCGAAATGAACATCCCTAGCTGGGACAAGCATTTCCCTTCTGGTGCTGTGTGTGTGTTGTTTTGCTGCTTCTCTCTCTTCTGAAATGAAGTCCTGATCAGCTCGAGGCCTCCATCTGCTTCTGCTTAAGCTGCGCTTTACCTTTCTTCTCTTCTGCCATATAAGGAAAACACTCTGATACCGGAGAACCACTAGAACTCGCAGAACCGTATGGAACATTCCACGGGATCATCTCGCTCCAGTGTGGCGCCAATGTAACAGTGTATCGCTGGAAAATTCAGCTCCATCTGTGCATCAGTGCCTCAAAAACCTAGTGAGCTGCCTACCTAGACATCAGTAATCAATGGACAAAAATCATGGACAGAAACGGCTTCCTTGGTATCATAGGTGCATTTAAACGTGCAAATGAAATTGCGAAAAGGTGTCTAGGTGGGAAACTCGGTAAGGTTTGAGACATATAACTTTACACTTATTAACATTTTGGTCAGAACATCTGCGTGACAATATTGGGTTAATTCTGAACCAAAGTGTTCATGCTCATTTGCATTTTTAATTAGCACTTCTCGTGTGAAGATGTTAGATACGCTGGGAGGGATTTCCCATGCGACACCGCGCTGACCCTAGCAATAAGAGCGATGAGATGGTGGCAGTGTAATTTTCACCTGACAAAAGCGCCTGTTAGAAGTGTTATGGGGCAAAGCAGAATTTGCATAGTGCAATTAGATGCAGTTTCCTTTAAAACGCTGCTCAACAGCTGGAATTCTCAAAGGTTTTTTTTTTTGCTCGGTAAGCTTGAGGATTTCAGCGTTCGTATTTAATCTTACAAGGCCTATGTGGGTAAATATGAATTGTGTACAGGCAACAGGCTTGGGCCACTTGTCTCTGGAAGGATTTGAATGTTTATCGCATAAAGCAGGAAAGATTTAGGGCACATGAGCACAGCTTCAGAATGCCAGAGCAGGCCTGTGCCGGACTTTATTAGACTGGCCTTCTGAGATCCTGAGATCTTACCTTTTTAAATTGGCTGTCAAAATCACAAAGCCCATCATCGCAAACAGCTATGAATTCCTAAGCAATGTGAAATTTATCAGAAGAGAAATGGGCTGAATACAATGAATATATTTGCTTTCTCCATTTCAGTTAACCTCCCTCATCTCTCTTTCTCACACACACTTTTTGTTCTGTTTCTTTGCTCTTACTTTTCGTCTGTGATGACCAAAATGCCTATTTTTTTAAGGTTAATGGTTCCAGCTATACAAACAGTAGTTATTTTGAGTAATTTAGCACTCTGTATCACCAAATTACCATTAGGCTCTGCATGTTTATCAGAGTATGTGAGCGGAGTGGAGCGGCAACAATTTCCCCTCTGCGCTCCAAGCATTCAATAATCACTCCCCTCCAGCTCCGCTCCGGGTTCACCATTTCCCGCTCCCACTCCACTCCTTGCTCCAATAATCAGAAACACCGCTCCGCGGCTAAATTATTTCACTATGCTTGAAAAATCAAAGTTCTGTTCAGAAATTATATTAAACGAAAAATAAATGCATAATACTAGAAGAATAGTTTTAACATGGTTTAATGGAACACTACAATTAGCCCAAGTCCATATTAAATGACTGCTTAACTCGCTTAGCTTACTTGTCTGTGCAACGTCTCTACTATGGCGAAGCTGAGGGAAGCTCCGCTCACATACTCTGATGTTTATAAGCATTCACAAGCCATTTTACTTCTGTAATGTGACGTATTTCTGAGTGAAATTATAATAAATGAGGAAAGATGTAGGATGGGACTTGATTTTGATGATTAGCTCATGAAAAATTTTAATTATATCACAGGTGATTAAAAGCAGGGGCTAGATTATGAAGACAAACATTATTTTCTAGGCAGTGATAAATCATTCACAATAAGACCAGAAATAGATAGTAAGAACATATTTTTGGATAGATTTTCAAGGTACAGTACAGCATTGTTCAAAGATCTTGTGTGATGTGTCTGTTGAAACCCGCACAGGTTATTTTGCTTGAACATTTAATTTCTCAACAAAATCAGGCCAAGAACCACCAGACAGATGCAAAGACATTAAAAAAGGATTTTGCCTCTGAAATATGTTTTATGATGGTTGAAACTTTATACGTTCTCCTAGAGCTTTGTGTATAAAGAGATGATGATATTGTGGTGGTGGTGTGGAATTAGATTGCCAACATCTTGCTTCAGCCAAACACTATTTCGAGAGGCTTTGAGAGGAATGATTAGTAAAATCTGATTGTTGTAAAAAAAAAAAGAAAAACATGTACCTAAACATTATGAATAGCCAAACTTTGTGTTCCTGGAACATATGGGTCTGAAACTGTTTTGTATGACAGTTGGATAGATATAACCCTTTAGTGAGAGTTTGATGGAACTTGTTTCTTTGAAGCAAACACAACCATAAGGTTCAGCTCTGTTTGAGTTATAGCGCCTGGATTTATTGTTTTCTGATTTATTTTTTTTGTCTGGTTTAGCTTTGGTACCTCAGAAAGGGGCGTATGAATAGAGTGAGTCATACCGTTCAAAGGCCAACAGAAACTATTGGGAGGCTTGTTGCTTGTGTTTGTGTAACTGTATATAGGTCTATCTCTTTTTCCATTAAACCTATAGGTTATTCTCATTTTTATGCCTCTGTTTTATTTTTCAGGACACTCCGAGATCCAGAAGTCATAAGAGGTGAGTCTGACTGCATCTAATATCTGTCAGCGGGTAAGATATGTCTTTTCAGCACTGCATTGCGCAGAGGGAGATCGAAGGGATTAAACCGTTTTAGCCGCTGACCGCAACTCTGGACCATTCACTCATCTGGTGGCTTCTGTCAGATGTAAAAAGTATTCTCCTGGCTTGGAAATTTGCCTTCGCAAAACTGCTGAAAAAGAAGTGTCTTGTCAGAAGAAAGGGATTTAAAGCCTGTGAAATGACAGCATGGCTTAACTGGACTAATTTTTCAGAGCCACTGTAAGAACGCCAGTTGCTTTCATTCTCTCAGTTGGCAGGCCTGAATTTGTTTCCACTTGAATGATACAAGTGGACTGTTTGTATCCAGCTGAGCATACATAATTAAGAGAAAAGTTCTAGGAAGTTCAAACTTAAAACTCACTGCAGACCCAAACACTGAGTGACTTTGACAAAGAAATATCCAGCATGACCCTGTGTCACCTCTCATGTTAACACTTCCTGCCCCAACAATGGCAATTTTTCTTAAACATTTCCAAATGTCACATTAAATTTTTTATACAGGTTGCAGCAGTTGAGTTGAGATTCAAGCACCAATTGTTCTTTTGAACTGATTCTTAAAATGCTTAAGTAATTAATTCAACTGTAAGGGATAAATTTAAAAGTAAATCTGTGAGGTAAATAGTGGTATTATCTGTATTTAAAGGAATAGTTCACCCAAAAATGAAAATTCTGTCATTAATTACTCACCCTCATGTCGTTCCAAACCCTTAAGATGTTTATCTTCGGAACACAAATTAAGACATTTTTGATGAAATCTGAGTTTTCTGACCCTGCATAGACAGCAATGGAACTGACACATTCAAGGCCCAAAAACGTAGTAAGGACATCGTCCATGTGACATCAGTGGTTCAACCTTAATTTTATGAAGCTACGAGAATATTTTTCATCCTGCAGCGCTTGTGCTGCACACATGAATGGTTTCTCAAATGGTGCATCTCATTGAAGAGCAACTAGAGGTTTGATTTTTCACATGGCAAATGATCAGCGGACAGTTTTTTTTTTATGTGGGAACCCTAACCATGTCTAGTGACCAGAATATCATGGTGGACTCTAGTAACAGCAAAACAACCACCCACCCATAACATTCTAGCAATGGCATAACAAGATGCTAACAACCACTCAGAACACCTCAACATCCTGCCAGCTGGATGTCACATAGAAGTGTAAAAAACCATCCAGACATTTGAACTAGTTCATTTAAATGAACAAACCGATTCACTAAAATGAATCAGACCTCCCTGTTTACAATGGCTTGGACTCATTTTGCACAGAAAGTGCCAGTGCATTGTGGATCCATGGTGATGCAGACAAAAGCCCATCTGAAGCTCAGTCTGGCCGTTTGATTAGTCGCCCATCTTTCTGCCCTGATACTTGCACTCCAACACGCTGGGCTCTGCCACAGCCGGCATGACAGGTAGATGGCAGAACCGGCAGCAGAAACCACAACGAACACGCTCATAGAACAAAAGGAGGAGCTAGCCATAAACATTAAATTAATGATGTTCCGTTGCAGATAATTAGTGTTTCGGAGACAAGTAAAATATGTCTAATGGTTATTTGAGTCCTAACCAAAAGTTTATTCTTGAGGAATGAACACGAAATGAATTAAATCTGCGGCCAGCTAGTGTGGCCAACATATTTAGAGTTGACTTCCGGCCCTCTCTCTCTCTCATACACACAAAGCCCCCTGTCGGGTTTCCAGGAGCAGATCATTACCTCTGCCTCCTCCTGTTTCCTCTCCACAGGGGACTAATGCAACAGAGTGGCGGTTACATTCCCAGGACATGAACATTCAGATTGGACATCTGCTCCGTTCTCAGAGTCGATCAGATTCAGACTACACTATACTGATAGAGCCACGGCGAAATACATCACACACCTCATCTGGACGTATTACTGGACCTTTTCCTTTAGGGTTTCCTTTATTACTATTATTTCTGTCGTCTTCAGTGTTGAATAACAATAGATGCGTCATCTTTGAAAAATATCAGGGCAAATGCATTTTTTTTAAACTACAGTTTCACATTTTCTGAAGAAAATTTCTCGTCGCTACTATGCTAGATTGTTGCCAGAGCATTGCTAGGTGGTTTCTTTGCCATCAAGATGAAGAAGAAGAAGGAAAAAGAGCCCACCCGAAAGGTCCCTAGACACGGCTCAGATCCATAATTATAATGTACTAGGAAAGTTCAATCACTTCAAAGAAAGCACACAATTTGAGATAACATTCATGTCCATACCACAAATTTGTGGGAAGAGTTACTCTTCGGGTTTTCTTCAGATCTCTAACCCTAAGAATGAGCAATAATAATATTAATAATGATGCTGGTCTTAGCTAAATAGTTTGGGTCCATGAGCATTAGGCTGGTCGGTTGCACATCGGCTCCATTCTGTACATTTGACCTGAATCTCCTCATTAGATGAAGCACTTCACCGTACCTCCTCATTAGCTGGAGGATTAGAACGGCCGTCTGTCAAAAGAGAGACACTCTGGGAATAACTGTGGAGAACATTTGAGCTGGCAAATGGTTTTTCTGCGCCCGAGCGATCGTCGCCCAACCAGACCTCCGTGGATGATAATGTTATGTGGGCTAGAGCTCCCTTCAGCCCGTCTGTGGTTAGAAAATGTAAAAACCTTTAGAAGAGAGAGGCGATTGAAGCTAGTTTCAGCCAGAGCAGGATATTTCTGCGGTGCTAGTGTTGCGTTTGTCACTTTCACAGCTGATTTCACAGCAATTTCAAGAACATTTCTGAATTCTGTTTTTGGTAGCTGTGAAATGTAAATGTTTGAAATGTAAAATGACAAGTTGTTTTGACTAGGGCTCTGTCCTCTTTCAAATTGAGAGTAGCTGCAAACGCACACTGTAGATCTTAACGCATGCTTCACAACAACATGAAACTGCATTTAGCTTCTGTTTTGCCTCTCCAACTGAATTACACACAGATGAAGCATTAATTATGCATAATGCACATTGTCTGTTTATTCCACACGTAATTCTGTCTAAAGGACTAAAGAAATGAATTATATTAATTATTATTTCCTAAAACAAGAAATTGATATGTCACAATCTGTAAAGCTGCTGTGAAACAATGTGTATTGTAAAAAGCGCTAATCTAATAAACCTGACTTTACTTGACTTCAGTAACTCTTAAGTGCTGTAGGAATTTCCCTGAAGAAACTGTGATGTTATTATTATGAAAATAAATAGACAAGGTTTTGATTTCATGATCTCCTTTAAGAGATGTATCCTGATGATTCTCTGGATGAGACTAGCTTTCTTGTTTTTCAACAGAATTTTAGATATTTTGTTTAAGGCATATCATTTCCGCACCATCAACGTCACCAATTGGAATCGAAAAAGTTCAGGTTTACAGCTTATTCTCAGTCCTTCATCGATTGGGCGCCCCATTCTCACACCATCGTTTGAGTCAGTGCATCTAATTTTTGATACACATGAAATCTTTAACATTACATACAATTTCAGGGAGCATGGAAAATACAGGGAGTTCATAAATCTGCAAATCCTCGGGCAGGTGAGAAAAAAAGACCACACACATGAGCCTTTCTCTGATTCATTGCCAGTTCTTTTCTTCCCGCTTTTGTGGAATGTACAGACAGGCCTAGCTCAGAACAACACTCTGAAGCGAAAAGAAGGTCCAATAATTTGATTCCCGGGAAAGGGTTATCAGCCGAATGAGTGAAATATTATGAAGGAATCCTCTCCAAGTCTTCCACATATGTAATTACTGAGATGAAGCTGGTTAAAATAAGTTCCACATGAATATTCCCAGAGCGTCTGGCCTAAGCAAAGAGCGAGAAAGATTGGGAGAGTGAAACAAATGGGAAAAGACCGATATTCTTCCCCAACCCCACTCCCCCCTTTTTTGACTAGCTGCACAGCGATGTCCCAAGGCACAGTCCTGTAAGAAGCAGGTATGTTCTCCTCGCTAATGAAAGCGCATTGCTCTAATGCCTTCTACTGTGCCATAAAAAGGCTTTTCATACTCTGATAATTTACTACTTGAGTTTTCTTATTTCCGCTCCTACGAAATAAATGACACTTTCCAAGCCATTATGTTGGAAAAAGGTTGAGGTCTCGTTTGAAGGGAGAAAAATGTGTGAAAAGATGTTTTAGCGAGGCATCTTTTGTAACCAGAACACAGAGTGAAAAAGCGTGCACCTGTTTTAATTTTTTTTTTATTTAAGCTTTTAAGGAGACATCTCCATTAGAGGTGCGTGGCACCGCCAGCTGTGAGTCACGAACTAGGCACACTGTTCGAAAATGTTTTTCAGTGTTAATAAGCATGACAACTTTTAGTTTGTTGTGTGCTGTATTTGATATGTTCAAAGGGAAGGTAATATGTAGGCCTATTCATTTAGATGCTCCATCTAATATCTAATATTTATATATATATATATATATATATATATATATATATATATATATATATATATATATAAAAATATGTGTGTCTTT